GTTCATGGAAACAATCAATGAATCCATGCCTAGAGTGGATTCATTAGTAAGGTCCTTTGATGCACCATGATTTAAGTAATCTTTGATAATTTATCCTGATCCAGATCATCCCTAAGGAATGCACTCTAAATTAAGGGCTGAAACTGTAACCTCAGGGCAATTTCTTTGGTCATATTCACAAATCTGTGCTAGTATTTATAGTAGTGAAGTTATTCATATAAAGTGAACCATATTCATTCAAAAGAAATATCAAATACTCAAAGGTGTGTGTCATATTTTTTCGAAACACCTCTCAAAATTCATAAAAACATACTTCACTGGGCATCATATTTTCATTGGAAATGTAACAGAATGCTGTCTCTCATGTTTATTATTATACTACTCAAAAACCAGCTTTTGGATTGTCTATTCCTAAAATAACAACAACATTATGGCGGAGCTCTGGCAGCCCAAAGGGCTGCCAAGTGGAGCCTCATACCCATATAGGAAAGAAAAGGACACCCATGAGTTGATTTTCTCATGGTTATCATGGCTAGTGGTATGGCTTGTGGGCACATACAGATGACAATGACGGAGTCGCGCAAGATGGCTGCCATACTCCAGCTAATAGGTTGACAGAGACATGCACCAGGCTTGGTTTATAGCATGCTTCTTTGATATTGGACATCCATGTTATGGTCAATTGACACCTGCCAAAACAAGGTATCTGCTGACTAGTATCACGTGACCATATCGTGGGCTCAAGTTTAGAGCTCATTGTCACATGGTTTTTGAAATTGACTGCTGATCAAGTGCTGGTTTTCAATTGGATTGCGGGCTCATGTCAGGTTATCTTGTTGTAAACAGGGCCGGGTTGTTTGGCAGCCAGTTAATGCTAACCAAGGATTATGAAAGTTAACTGAAGTATAAATTTTTCTTGTATACAGATGTTTTTCGCAGTCACTGTTTGTTTTGTGTATTTTGAGGACCTTGAGATTATTCAAACTCAAAACAGAAGGCCAAACAACATAAACAGAAAACCTCACCATAAAGTTACAAAACTCAAGTCAAAATTCTCATTTATCTTGGGTTAGCTTAATCAGGCTTTAAACAACCCGGCTCAGGAGCTTCGCTTTTAGGCTAGGCGAAATCTTTATATTAAGCTTACAGTTAACTAATAATGTATTAAAAATCTTGTAACATTTCTTTTTTGTTTTGCAGGCACTGTTTGGAGTACAGTTTGTACTCAGTGTTGTTATGGCAACCATGTTGCAGAAGTTCTCCCCTTTCATCTCCCTAGCAAGATGGATTCTCTGTAATGAACAGTAAGTTTACATTGATACAGTTACTAATGCCAATGAAAGTTTGTAAACCTGTGATCAGGTTTATCCTGTTCTGAATAAGTTCTGCAGATGATGTCATTGTGTACATGTAGTTCATCCTTATTTATCACTTCCACAGACCTCGATGTAAGTTTGAAATGAGTGAACAAAAGGAAAACTGTGGGTGCATTTACATGTATTTGTTTTTATAAGTAACTGAAAACAAGCACAGGGAAATGTGCATAGCCAAGTTGTGAATGGTTTTGGTTTTGCATCTTATTGTTTGATTTGGTTGGCATCTAGGAAAGAAAATGAAAAACAAGGTTTATCAGAATTACTATAATATTTATGGTTATTGACCAAGTGTTCAGGATGGCTGGATATTGGCCAAGTTCTTTTTTTTTTTTCATGTTCATTGCTTTTGTGTTTATACTTCTAAATGTTTTCTATTTCTTAATAATTTATTTTCTTGATGTATAGCCTTGTTAGATATCTTCATCCAACTGATGAAGAGCTTAAAGGACTGATTGGAAAGAACTCTGCTGTGACAAGCAAAGGTAAAGGAAAGAGAGCAGCTCCTACAGATGCCAGGTAAAGTGAGTCTATAGAGCTGCACCGTCACCCCACATGCTCGTTCTGTCTGTAGAAAGTTTCAGTTAGGTACCACTGGGCACATTTTTAGTTACTGGGCAGGTGAACTGCGAAATACTTTTAAGTGAGTAAAAATCATTAAAATCACAAAAACTAGCACAGAGAGACAGGTGATTAACAATGTGGTAAAACAGAACAGTGATTTTTTTTCATCACCAACTTCAAATAAGAGTCACTTTGTGCAACATACATTGCTGTGTAGGCATTTTTTTTCTAACTGTACTTTGTAATTTGTTCTTGCTTAATAATCAATAGAATAATATTTTTTTACATTAGAAAGCGGCAAAGTAATGCTGCAGCTGTTGGAAGTAATGGTGAGGAAGTCAAGACATTTACAGTGCCCTGCAACATTGATGTTCAGCTGGACAAGGCTACGGTATATTAATACAATGTGTAGTTCCAGAAAATGTCCATACCTCCCCCGCAGGAGGGATTTTTTATAATAGACTCCCACCCCACACCCCTCTGGAAATTCTAATTAAGCCTCAGGTATAAATTCTTTAAATTTTTTGGTGAAGGTGTCAGAAGCCCCCACCCCCCAGGAAATTCCAATCCCTTCTGTGGGAAAATATGAATACATGTATTTTGTGGAATTGCATAATGTAGGCTTCTATTAATGCCACCCTTTTGTTTTATGTACCGGTACTTTGAAAATTACTTATTACATTGAGCGCAGAGTTGTTAGTATTAACATGTATTTTAACAATAAATTCTTACGGTTATTGTATGATTCAGTTTATTTAACAATTTTAAGGTTTTAAAGTCAAGTAGCAGGAATGTCTTTTGTTTGGTCTTCTTGGAGTTGAATTGTTTGGTAATATTATAAGATGTCCTTCAGAACTTCAGAGAAACAAGAAAATATTGCCACTTTGGAGATGACCTGATAATCTGCGATTGTTCAGACAATCAGATTGTACCATTTTACTTTTATTACTATGTTACCAGAATTAACTATGATAACAATATTGCAATTAAATACATGTATATTATTAAATATGATTTATTTGTTTTTATAATATGGTTAACAAATATTCCACAAGCACACATAATTTGGATTTTCATACGAGATGGTAGTTAGCTAATGAGGTGCGTAGTACCAAGTTGGATATAATCAATCATTTCATATCCAACAAGTGTGAGTGGAATAATTGTTTGTTTTTTTTTTTCTACTAAAAACACCCAAAATATAGAAAACTAAACTAAAATAAAAATGAAAATGCCCAAAAAAATCGCACGCATTCCTATGGTATAATGGCTCATAACCCATGATGGCTAAGCCAATGAAAACTCTCAAATTGCATTGCCCTATGATCCAGTTTTGAGTAATATTTGATAACAATGATTTCTTTGTGACTTTTGTTTCAGATTGAAGAGATTGACTTACTCCCCCAGTTCCTTTACAATGATTACAAATGGCTGATTGATTTCTCCTTCTGTGCAGCTGTTATAAATGGTCTCGTTGAAATCTTTGCATTCTTTTTACCTGCAATCTACACTCAAGAACTTAACCTGGGGCTGGTGTGGAACTGCCTTGTAATCTTCTTTGCGCTGTATCCTCTGCTGGAGATCAATAATATTTAGGCTATGACTCTTCTAATAGTTGGCATTCTAGATGTATTTTGTTGTTCTAAGTAGGCGATATTCGTATTCTTGGTATGGGACTCAACTAGCTTGCAATGGATCCGGACGCTCATGCGGGGGAATGTCATTACAGAGAGATTAAGATGATCTCCGCAGAGCATTCCAGCAATAGTGGCAAAATAAAGTTACCAAAAGAACCTCATAGCATGGTAATGTTTTGAATGAAGGTAAAAAGAACTTATCGAGATTTAAGCTCTCAAGCTGACTGCGCGAAAGAAACACGAACTTGAATTTATCCATATTTCAATTAAAACACATGTTCCACGTTAGTTGAAAACACAATAACACACGCATTAAGCATTCTTACAAGGTTTGACAATACCTTTTTCGAGAATGCTTGAGAATTTAATTGTGGGGTCACTTAGAGAAATTAATTAAAGTGAGATGTTTTTAATAGTATTCAAAAAGTTACCGTTCTGTGAGTAGATTTTTAGCAAATAATTTTTGCACTTATTGCTCGAACTTTGAGCAAAATCTGTCTTAGTGTCATTTGCATTTGAAGAGACTCCTCACGTTAGCCTCAGTTGCAAGCTAGTTCCAGTCCAATACCGGGAATACGAATATGGCGTATTAGATGTATGGTAGAGAAATGGCCATCATCATGAATCAAAAACAGATCATTACACTTGCACTTTTTACACTCTTAAACTAATTTTGCCTTCAGTTGGTTCCACTTGGTTTTAGAAGAAAATAGGCACTGCTTGCTTTCAACATTGCTCGAGTTGTTTTTCATCACCATGGTTTTAGCAGAATTGTACAAAATTTAGCTCCCGCATCAGATTCCCAGCTTTGCTTTGACAAAGGACTTACACTTGAAACGTCAGTTCGTTTACGTTTGTCACAAACTGAGTATTCTAACAGCAGGTTTTTTTCTATAAAGTAACTCTTATAATATTTTAACAAACAAAATACAGTTGAACCTCGCGACGGCGGCCACCTTGGGGACAGATGAAAGTGGCTGTTGAAGAGAAGTGGCCAATACGAGGAGGTAGGGGTGTAATATGACACCTGCTTTTTCAGGGGGGGGAAATAACATTTTTATTTGTAAAAAATGCTTATTGTAGCATATAAATACGTAAAACAATCAAAATGTATCATTAAAAGAGAAACCAAACAGAAAAAGAGACCAACCGTGAACACATTGTACGGGTCAAGTTTCCGGACCTTTTACAATTAAAAATGGTGTTTTGTATACACCGCTCGTCAGTCATTGATTAACTGGCCGTTGTTGCTTTAGTGGCCGTCGCCACTGTAGAGGGATTAGTATGGACCGTCTGCCGGGACAAAGTGTACCCCATGTAGAGAAGTGGCTGTTAGTGGAGGTTCGACTGTATCTTTAATTGACCGCTCCCTCAGTGGGTCATATCAGGACCAATGGAATTAAACAGTGAAAAATTCAAGTAATCTCTTGACCTTCCTTGTTAGTTCTTTTACTGGACTGTGTTCCTTAATTTAGTTCAGTAAGGTTTTGTATTCTCTGGCGGCAGCTTACTGGAGAGGGGATGACACCGGCGAGCGTTCTATGTGTCTGACATTCGGTTTGTTCTTTTTCGTGGTGGCTATGGCCGTTCTTGTGATTGACGAGTCTCTTCTGGACTTTGGACTTGATAAAGGCTAGTGATTGAAACTTTTTATAAATAATAATTACCAGCATTGTGCATTTATACACCATTACACTGCTACGCACCGTACCATTACCACATGAGAGTTGTTTTTTTGGACATCTTTTTGACAACGTTTTGACAACGTTTTGCCAATCAAATCATGGGAACTGTCGCTGGTAAAGATGTCAGATTCACCATCACTCAAAAGCGTTCAATAATCTTATAACTTAAGTTTGTTTTATGTCGTAGGTTACGAAACGTTTTCCGAAAAGGTCACCGAGTTCATGGAAAAGCAGGGACTTCCTTCCAGGTGGGATTTTGTGTAGCAATTGCTTCAAAGTGTAAGCACAGTGGAAATTTACTTTCTCTCAATTCTACTCCGACAGCAATATTGTATTTGGTTGAGGTTTTGTCTGAGTTGTATGTCTACGTCAAAATCACGAATCTGAGAAAACAACGGAAGAAAGCCCAAGATGGGTCTAGTTCCTTTTTTCTGGCGTTTATAATAGCAAGTAACTGTTATTTGTCTTTTGTTTACAGAGGTCCTGCTCCAAAATGGGTGTTCAAGCTATTTCTCGCCGTGGCGTCGGGTCTACTCGGCGCTTTTCTTAGTTTTCCAGGCATGCGACTTGCCAATATGTATCTGGATTCACTGTTCTACTGCAAAGAGACTCGCGTCATGTTGTAAGTCAAATCACCGTAATGAAACACTGTTAAAGTCGCTGCTTGCTTGGGGGGCAGGGATCGCGCAGTGGTGAGAGCGCTCGCCTCCCACAAATGCGGCCCGTGTTCGATTCCTGTCGGTGACACAAGTGTGTTGATTTTGTTGCTGGTTCTCGCCTTGCTCCGAGGGTTTTTCTCCGGTTCTCCGGTTTTCCTCCCTCCGCGAAAACCAACATCTCCAAATTCCAGTTCGGCCAGGATAGCTTCCTCCCTAAATATTGTAATTTATTTTATTTTATTTACCTTATTACCTCGAAAATGGTGATATAGTGAAGTCAGCATTAGCCGTGTGGTTAACGCAACGGGGACCGGGTATTGGCCTAGCGTTCTTGAACAAGACACTTTGCATTGATTCACATGCCTCGCTCTTAACCATAGTTAGCTTGAACAACCTTGCAAAATGCTGGGGTAACCCTACGATGGCCTAAAATTCCGCCCAAGGGGAAAAGGAAAACTTCTGATCTCTTCATCAGGCCTAGGGCTGTAGCTAGCAACAGGCAAACCGAGGCACTTGCCTCCGTCTCTTTTTTTCTTTTTGTTTGTATTTTTTTTAATAGTCATAATAAACACACTAAATATCTAGGAAAATAATTTAGTCATGGACATTGCCTCAGTTATAATTTTTTTCTGGCTACGGCCATCATGACACTCATGAGAAAGCGCTTTCTTGATACTTAGTAATTAATAATGCTCAACAGTGAAAGTTCCCCCTTCGTTTTATGTCTTCGTTTTATGTTCTCGCAGGGTCCTTCTCCATGTAAACTACTTGGCCCCTTTGTTTCTTGTCCTGTTATGGGTGACGCCCATCGTCCAAGGACCCTTGATGGCCGGCTCGTGGAATACTGACAGTGACGACAAACAAACAGAACCTGTGTAAGTGAAAAGTTTTTTCTTACTTCGTTTACATTAAATGTCATTGTAAATGACTTGTGAGACACGACGATGCTCAATATTGACCCTCCCTACCCCCGTTACAAAGGTCTGATATTATTAACAATAGGATACACGTCGAAATTATGGCAAGGTTTCAATAACTACATTCGAACCTCTCCACCCCGGCCGCCACCATCTTGGGGACAGGAAAGCAGTCGTTGTAGAGAGGTTGCCGTTATGGTGAGGTAGGAGTGTGATGTGACACGTATTTTTTCGGGGGTGCAACATTTTTATCTTTAAAAAATGCTTATTGTAGCATATAAATACGTAACGCAACAAAAATATATCGATAAAACAGAAACCAATCAGAAACAGAGATCAACGACGCGCGGTAGAGATCAATTTTTGTCACCTTTTACAATAAGAAGTGGGTTTTGTATACACCGTTCGTCAGTCGTTGATTAACCGGCCATTGTCGAGAGGTTATTTCGGCCGATTGGAACGTGCTTTAGTGGCCGTTGCCGTTTTAGAGAGGTTAAAATAAGAGTGAACGTAGCCGGGACCGTCCGCCAAGACAAAAAAGTGGCCATTATAGAAGGTTGCCGTTTGCGGAGGTTCCACTGCCGTTAGCGCAGGTTCGACCCTAGACTCTTGGGTAACTTGCTCAACTCCTTCACTATGCTCCACTTCCAGGAACGTAAATGTAGTTGGTAAAGTTGCTACTGTCCTAACATTTTTCTATTGTTGTCCCGAACATTATTTCAATGTTGTCACGGTGTTAAGGTTGCTGTTTCAGTCTGTGGTTCTGTTCTACTAGTTGTCAGAGTTCACCTGATACCTTTCATTTCAGATTAACAGAGAAAGGCTACTCCAACTTTCGTTTCATCCTGCTCCTGTTGTTCTGTGTTCTGCGGTTGAGTTTGGTGTGGCGACATCTTCAGTCTTACTTAGACATGGCTCACGAGAGGATAGAAAAGATGAAGAAAGAAACTGGAAGAATCACCAACGTGGAATTACAACGCAAGGTGACCATGTCCTTCAGTTTCCGACTGGTGTCATTCGCGTGTGTTGTGGCGAACAGTACGAAATCTTTAAGTACTTTTTAAGGTCGCAGTCTATACCTCTTTCTAACCGAATTCGAGGTCCGTACTGTAAGTTACGGACCGAGTTTTTACCTCTTCGATTTACAGTGGCCCAAGCGCGAAGCGCGCGAGCCATAAATTGAAGGGGAAAAACGAGGATCCGTAACCTTCAATACGGGCCGAGAAGACGACGTTGGCAAGATATTTATTATATCTCTACTGTGTGTCAGACTGGTTTGCACACTTTAAAGTAAAAGGAAGTTTTAAACTTTTGCTTACCGGCTATAAAAGTTAAGAACACTTTACGATAAATCACGACACATTTTTGCAACAAGATCAACTTTAAATTGACAAATCACTGTTAATAACTGAGAGATATGATAATGTCTCTAAGAGTCTGTATTTTTGTCAGCGTTGTCTCTAAGCAACATGATCCATACTGCTGACGTTAAACTCAAGTGACAGCTTTCGTAGTACAAGTGCCATTTTCTGATTGGGCAACGCAAATCGGCGTCTCTTCGGAGACTCTTCGGCTAATTCCGTGGGAGTCTTGTTGCCCGGTAAAACCTTACGATTAGTATCAGCAGGGACCATTTAAAAAAGACGACGTAAACGCCATGCAACGAGACCGTTGTTAAATTTAATAAGTATGCATTTTTTTCCGTTTTTTGCCAAAGCAAAATTGGAATTGTACGCTGTGCTTACAACGTTAAGTTGGAACAAATTACTTTGAGTAGATGTCGATAATTTCGAGATTTTCAACTAAAATGTAAATTCGCTTTTTTACTCCACGTTGTCCCGGGCGTGACTCTCGCCAATGCTTAAGCTCTGTAAGATTATATAAGCAAACTTGTGTCTGATCATTCAAACTGAGTGGAATTCACTATGTCTGTTATTGTTATACAGGTCGCCCGCGTGTTCTATTACCTGTCAGCGGCTGCTCTTCAATATCTGGCTCCAACTATTCTTCTTCTGTTCTCTGTCTTGACGCTGCGGACACTCGGTAGGTTCACAATCCATACAGCGAAATATAACTCGTTGTTATACTGGGGAGTTTTTCTTGGAACTTGTTGCACGATTTTTGGCGATAGAGGTTGCGCGAAAACTTATCCAATCTAAGGCCCAGGTCAAACGTCGAACTTCACACGAGACGAGCTAAACTAAGCGACTTAAGTTGATGATAAGTTCGACTTTTTCGACTTTTGACTCAACTGAGTTTGTCCGACTGTATTTTGATCGACCGATATAGAACGGATAAAACGTGTTGGTCAATCTAAATTCGAATTAAGTTTGACGTTGAACTCAACGGTCGAGCGTTGCCCGTTTGGATCGACTCAAATTGCAGTTTAGTTCGCTTCATGTGAAGTTCGATGTTTGACCTGGGCCTAACATCCCTTGAAATGAACGTGTCTCGCAAACGTTGCTTTCTTAGTAAATGTCGCACGAATTGAGTAGAATCAAGTTCTACATTTCGCAACAATCGCTGCTATGAAAGCGTTACATGACAGGCAGGCGGGGTTACATTAAACATCGGCTTGTGAAACTTGCCTTCCAACGGCGTAACAAAATTTCAATAAAAGTTGGCCCGCCTTGTTAAACACTGAATTCCTGTAACTATCACCTGGAATAACCCGAATCATGGTGGCTTAATCTAGTAGCTTACAGTAATAACTCTGTTCATATAATCAATGTGCACGTATAAACTTGTGGGCAGTTTTTCGCACTGTATTATGCGGGGGGATTGTGGAAGCTATATCTGTTTTTCGTATTTTTTTTAAAATCCCTTTTCATTATTCTTTGTGTCATTCTCGATTACCGTTTGTTCAAACAAAAAAGAAATGGAGCGTATGCACATGACGTCATGGCAGCCATATTGGTGTTCCAAAACAATGAAACGGCGGCCAAGATGGTGTACCAAGCCAATCCTGTGGAAGTTCAACTCTTTTCTTATGTTCAACACTTTCTTTTGTTCCAATAAATTTGCATGGCTGCTGGACACCTGAGTGAATATGCTCTGTAGAGAAGAACGTGAAATGCTTAGTTTAGTCTTGACACTAATCTTGTTTCCTGGCGTTTATTATTCAAGGTTGTACCGACTGGAATAGTAATCCGGTGGACGTCTCTCGTCTCCAGTACTCCTCTTTGATATCGAACAGTACAAGAGAAGCTGCGCTCAGTCTGCGCGGAGTATTCACGCCGGCGCTGTTTGAGGGAGTCATGTCTTACATGGTCTGGTGGCTGTGTACATCTTGGTTCATCACCTCGCTCTTTGGAGTTCTTTATCTTAAGACGTTTGAAGCAAGTTGACAAGGTCTGGACAGCGAAACAAAATGGTGGCGATTTTGTGGAGAGCGCGGTGGGTTATGGGGATCGTCCATTACGAGAAAGAGACCGGCGCGCTGCGAAAATGACGGGTTTGCATGCTTGGTGTAAAGCGTGCGCGCTTCAGGTTTCGGAATACGTGCAATCAGTATTTATTTTAATATATGAGTTCCTGAGTTTCTATTGTATAGGTCGATGTAAAACACCAACAATGATTACCTCGCCCTTTAAAGGTCTTTCACGAAAAGCTCCTCTGTGGGTCTTGGCGACAGGACGCTTCGGGATTCTTCGGAAATCTTCGAGATTCTTCGAGAGGCCCTGTTGGTGTTTGCGATGGTGCGGTTCTGTTTTTTAATCCCTGCGTTCTCGAACTGAAAGAAAGTGCAATGAGTCGTAAGGCTTCCAGGTGACCGAAGGATCCAGTAACGAGATGAGAGTTACCAGTAAGAAGCGAGTAGCAACGCATGCGCAGGTCGGCAATGAACGTGGCGTACTCCGAAGCCCAGAGCCCTCGCTTGCGCAAGTCCAACATTTGTCAAGGGAGGGGCCCGGGATTCGAGAAAGTAGCGCCTCGGTAGCAACTGAATCAATAAATAACAATGAACTGAAACACCTGGCTTAGTCATTTGTTGAAAATGTTTTCATATTCCAGATGAGACGACCAAAAATAGTCTTCATTTATACACGTTATTTCCATCAGTCTATTTATGATAATCAAATAGCTAGGTATCTTCCTAACTACAATCAAAAAAAATAAAAGTTCTCCCCAAAATACTGAAACTGCTTTTCTTGGAGGCCGTGTAGAAAACAATTACTCAAAACTGTGGCGACTTAGTTTAGTCTTGAACTCGGTTAATGAAGTTGCTTGTCTTAGTTCTATAGGTAAGTTGTTCTAAAACTGAGCTCCTCACTACGAAAAACTTCTCTTCAGATAATCAGTGCGACAAGAAAAGGATATGGCACCAGAGGTGTTTGCCATACGCCTCTAAAAAAGTTTGGAAAACTGTTGAGTTATGATCAATCTTTGTCCAATAGTCAGCAAACCTACCGAAAGTGACATTTATAGTTCGATTTCTGGTAATCGTTGTTCTTTCCCGTTGAGAGACTGAAAAAGGTGAAAGTGAACTACAGAATTACATGTTATTATTTCCTTATGATTCGTTCCGATCGGGCTGAAATAGCTAGTGCGCAGGCTCAAGAGTCTCTTGGTAGGCTCTATTGTTTAGGGATTGTGGTGGAGGCCTGAAGCCGCGTTTTTTGCTGGAAGAGATGGTCTCGTAACCTACTTGCAAAGCCAGGAGGCATAGCTAAGGGACAAAAGAAATACCCCAAATCACCGTCCACTAAGCGAGTATATTTAATAGCAACGGACTCCTCAGAAGTTATCCCTTAGCCTTAGGCGGAGGAGACAACGCCCTTGAACCTTGAAGGGCGGGGTGGAGGGGTACTCTAAGAAGCATTGGTTGAAGGTATGCGGCCCCCTTTCCGAAATCTTTACCCTATTTCAGACCAAAATCTGCCATTTTTCCTACCCTCTAGACCTGACCAAAAATTAGATAACTTATATACCTATGTAGGGTATCCTCCCTTCCCCCTTCCCCCGCCCACTCCGCCCAGGGGCCAGCTGTTTCTCGGAAGCCCCGGAAACTTTTCGGTCCCGCAAAATCATTTTTAATTAATCTGTATCTAAAAACAGAGAGGTGCGAGTATACGCCTGAAACTTCTTGTACGAAGTGAACTTCTGGTCATATTAAGAACATGTAAATAAAACAGCTCTATAATCATGAGGTTTGAGAGTTTGCTACCGCTTTCTGGGTGCGAAAACTTTTCAGGACCAGGGACCTTCGAGAAGGTCCTGAATTCCGTGTGACACAGGCGACGTCATTTGACGGTTACATGACGTAGCTGTCAGATGGATTACGCCTGACTGATTTTCAGGCGATATTGCCCCCGTTCTTGGGGTGACTTTGCATTTCTTTGACTATATTCATGAGCACAGCCCCCAAAATCGCAAAGTTAGACATGGCTACATCTCTTACAGAGTGCCCTGAGTTTTCTGCGCTCCAGTCTCATTATGAAGCTGCTTCCAAGTTCCATATGCGCGCTCTGTTTGAGGCAGATCCCGGGAGGTTTGAGAAATTCAGGTACAGCTGTACAGCTTGATCTGTTATTCAATAATTCTTTTGCTTTGTTCAGATTGGCCTGTAGTACAGTTGTATTTTCTTTGACCCTGTGGAACTTGTCATAATAATAATCTATGTAACGAAATGGCCGAAATTTAGCTTTATCTGATCTCGATACATAGTAAAAGAGGACATAATTTGTTGCAGCGTTCTGTTTTTATGAAACCTTAAAATTTCGTGACTACACCTTTGTACTGCATAATTAGTGTAATCATTCCTTCAGCAGGCGTTCAGTGTTGAAGTAAAGCTTCATCATTTATATGCATTCAAACAATCACAGCGTTTAACGTGTACAAGACGTTTTCACATAGTTGACAGAAGTCTTAATATATCTTTCAGTTTATTTCACCACATGAATTTTGCAAGTAATCTTGCATTCTGATACAGGATTGAACATTCCGTTGTTGTCTATACTAGTAGGTTAATATGCCTATTAATAAAGCAAAAGATAATCCATGTATCCTTTGAACACTCATGGAGTGTGCATGTATGGGTTGAGGGTCCCCAATAGGTTTGGCGGGATGCAGGATTTGGCTTTTTTCGCTGTGATATTTGGGATTTGAGCTGAAAACAGGGGCGGGAAGCGGGAATTACAATTATGAGCAGGAGCAGGATTTCATGTTTTTATAAGGTTGGGATGCGGGATTCGTAAGGGGAAGAGAGCGGGATAAGGGGTTTCAATTCTTACATGACGTCATAAATTGTTATTGACCAGTGCAAAAACCACAAGCTGGCAGAAATGTGCATATAGCTGTGTCAGGTTTCAAGTAATGAATAGCANTTTGTGGGGGTGTTTCGTATTTGTGGAAATGTATAGTGATTTGTGAAAGTGTTTGTATTAGTAGAATTGTTTTCGATCTGTGCAAGTGTTTTGTCACGCGTGCAAGTGTTTTCCATCCCAGCAATTGTTTTTTTTTTTTTCCGAGCAAGTGTTTTCCATCCGAGCAAGTGTTTTGTGATTTGTGGAAGTGTTTTGTCCCTATGGAGGTGTTTTGTCCCTATGAGCCACCGTATTTACCCTTTTTTGTTCATTCTGCAGATATGAACTTGCCTTCCAACAGATAACAAGACGTTTCAGGAGTCAGCAATACCTCTATTGTAAAAATATTAAGCGAATAAAGTGTAGAACCATAACGTGTCAAAAAACATTTATTTTTTCCATGCAAGTTGGAAAGTTATTTCACGCCAAGTCTGAGTTTCGACCTCTTCAGGCTGTAAGACCTTCATTGATGTCAAATAAGCTAGCTTCTCAGGACAACAAAAGATCTCTTAAAAATGGCGCCCGTTTGTTATTTAGACGGCAATTTGAGGTTGTTGAAATGGAATTCGAAGAAGGTTTGAGATTTACCAATTTAACAGAAGATTATTGTTAACTTTAAAATTCGTTACATCTCCGTGTTATTTAAGTTAAGTGGTACTGTCTTTGATTAATTCAGACAAAACAGCAAAGTGCAAAAACTCGCAATCCAGACGAACGTAATGTTATCGGGCAATTCCATGGCACTTGAACTTTCCTAATGTATGGTAGACCTCCTCATTCCTTTTCTCAGCGTCTCCAAACCTGAGCTGTTTAACTGGAAGATGTGTCTTGTCAGTGAGGAGACCGCTGTCTTCACGCCATTTTTTGTCATTGGCATCACAGTTGCAAGGTAGTTCTGGCTTTGCCCATGAGCTGTTCATCCCGCATGCGCACTGCCACTGCTGGGTTGTGCTCCACAAGCCATGTCTCTATTACTTAGTTCTTTGCCATCTTTCCTGCAAACCTAATACCCGTTCCTTGTTCAATCTGTTAATTTACCACAAACTGAAGACGGCACCCTCCACTACGCTACACAATTGTCCTGATACGGCCAATGAAATAGATAATTGTTCCATCTGGCCTCGGGTTTACCTTCGATGTACCACGACAGTAAACAAATAGCTGATATTCATAATTTTCTCATCAAGCCTAAATATCACTCACACTGAATTTTAAAAACAGGCACTTTAAAATGTGTTGCTTCCCTTATACATATGTATTAAAACTAAGTTATATTTCATCAGAAATTCCTGATTTTTTTCTTTAAAAAAATACCAAGCTTAATAATCCTACGTTAAAAAGTGTCGTTTCGAGAGCCTTTATTTTGTCAATGTCCACTTGAAAACGACCAAAGGAAACTTAAATATATAGCGCTGTTCAGTCAGGCAATTCCATAGCATTTGAACTTTCCCAGTGTATGGTAGCCTTGTTCATTTAAGTCCGTTTTATTACCATAACCCGTATCTCCAAACCTCAGCTGTTTAACTGGAAGATGAGCCTTGTCAGCGAGGAGACCGCTGTCTTCACGCCATTGGTTATCATTGGCATCACAGTTGCAGGGTAGCTTTGGCTTTTCACATGACTTGGTCATCCCGCATGCGCACTTGTCACTGCCGAGTTCTGCTCCACCCCAGTACGTCATTTTAGCAGAATCACGTGACACCCACCAGGCGAAAAAAGTTTTGTTTTTGGACATCAATGAACCAATGCACTCATACTTGATAAACTGTTCGCAGCGTGCGGAAATATTAGCGAGCTTTGCCAGCTGAGGAAGACTTGCTCCTGTGTAGTTAATGTCACGTTTGTAGCAACCTGGAGGTTCACATCCATCCACCAGCGTTCTGTTTTCACTGTCGTGACTAATGACGGTCACGCCAACTCCATTCTTGTCAGTCATGTCACAGGTGACGTTGTAAGGTGGCACGCCTCCATCACCATCTGGATCAATGACGTAAGTACCATTTTCCAGTGTAGGGTCAAGCTTCTTTAAGTGGCTGCAAGACTTTGCTAACGACAAGAAAAGGAATAAAGTCAAAAGCGACTCAAGGAATAACTTATCATTACACTGAGTCTGTTATCTTGCATCCAAACAATTAACGTTAGAATAATTCATAACTCTTGGCCTCGCTTTTCAAAACAGTATTTGGTTCTATAAGTTACCAATGTTTTGTTTAATATTTGCCAGAAATGTAACGGTGAATGGTCATTGATTTTATCATAAGCAAACTGCTTCCAATTTTTGTCATCTCCATGACAGCAAAATGATACGCAAAGAGGTAAATTTTGCCATGATAATTTATGCACTTCAACAGTTTATTATATGACTTGCGTTTGCAGCCGATATAACGCGCGCAATGCCAACAGGCCAATTACGGGCCTGCAAAAACCTAGCAAAGAGCTATATAATAAACTACTTATTAGCCTCGAACGTTCGGTCTTTACAGGAAAATCTCAAACTCCGGCCTTGCCGCTCGGTCAATACGGCAAGGTCTCGGTCTGAGATTTTCCCGTTAAGATCCTTTGTCGTCCCCAGGGGCCGCCCTCCTTTTGGTCAGCACCAAAACTTGCGACCTCTGGCCAAACCCGATTTTCTGAGCATGCGCATAGTATTCGTTTCGTATTTTCAGCCAATCAGATTTGTCAGACTTAACGGGAAGTCCGTGAATCGCGGACTTCCGGTGATGGACCAGCCCAGGGGTCGCGATTCTTGGTGCTGACCAAAAGCAGCCCGGCCTCTGGGAAAATACCTCACTCTCGGTTAACAAGTAGTTAAGAGTCCCTGTCCATAACAATGGAAAATAACTCGGCAAGGGTCGAAAATTCGATTTCGTTCATATTTTCATGGTAGATAGGCTAGGGCATGACAAAAACTACT